AACAAATTTTTCACAGAAAATTCTGAAATGACTTGCTGCAGTTAATCCATTAACAAAATGTAAATAAGTATGGAACTAGTTCCTATCAACACTAAACCTTTGTTTACCTAAATTAGCTAATGCTAAATAAAGCCCGGGAAAATATTCAAGTGACATTCGTTGTTCTCCGCTATAGAGAGAGTGTTGTATGTTGGGTAGAGTAGCTCCATATCTGTTGTGCAACAGCAGAGGTGGAACAAGTACTTCATCATAAGTTTGGTTGTTCCTTTTGATGAATATACTCTCTGAAATTGGATGGAAAAAAGATAAGCATTATACTTGCTGAGAAAAATATGCTGCATTCATGAAATGTGCCCCTGAGAGGAATATTAATGGATTTCAATTTCATAGTCTGCCCAAAGAATTATTAAATATAATCTTAAAGACAATGGTGCTGGAAAATACATGAAGTGCACTCACAACTGTGCTGGGGCTAATACCAAGGTTGGCAACACAAAATAAAAATTTGAAATGCAGGGATAATTTTTCCCCCCTTGTCCAAAGTCCTGGATGTGCTGATTACCATTTTCCAATAAAACATTCAGAAGAAAGTGGACTAAGCCAACTTTGGACGACTTTTACTTGAGAATTCGTCCCACTGCAGCCTTAAACTTCTATACCTATACAGAGCAGAACAGTCAAGCCTCCATTACCATGGTATGTATAGGTGCCACCTGGCATTTGGGCTAATCCTTGCCATGACACGCAAAGATGCCATTCACTGTCATTAGATTAAACTGACTATCCATGTCCAAAAAATTATTTGCAACATAAACCCTGCTGTGATGAATATAATGTCGAGCAGAATACCCAACAATTAATTACAGATAGATTCCGATGCTCTGATCTAAATCTGTTTCTTCCTGAAGGGAAACATAATGAAAAAGAGAATGAAATAAAACTTTGTATGCTATATTACATCTTATCTAACATGAGTACAAATTATTTTCCTTTAATGAGACTGTTTCTTATTAGATACTCTACACAATACATATTGTGAACATATTATTGTATAACACTACAGCACATCCAGTCACAGAATTGGGTATTTGTTAACTGAACATTAATCAAAAGTAACTAGTGAACAATATAGCAAGTAATGGGGAAGTGGATGAGATGGATGAAAAAGTATTATCATCAAAATGAAGAATTTATACTGTCATTGGTTAAGGAACAAAACAGCATCAGCTGACAGAAATGTACAGAGGAAGAAATCTTTTCTATCTGAAAGGCATCGCAACATAAACCACCACTCCTAACCTTAAAAAAAAAAAAAAAAAAAAAAAAAAAAAAAAAAAAAAAAAAAAAAAAAAAAAAAAAATTATATATATATATTATATATAATATATATATATATATATATATATATATATATATATATATATATATATATATACACACACACATATATATATACTCCATACAAAACAGCTGATTCTCACCTGAAAAAGTCCCTCCTTGATATACATCTTCACCTTATCTGGAGAGAGACTTCCTAGAGGATTTGAGGAGGAATCTGTGAATGGCCACACCAATGTATCTGCAAAATCAAATCTTCGTTACTTTTGAATTCCATAACCAGGAAAGTTAAGGAGTTAAAACACAAAATTCTATAGCAAAGCACAAGATTCTATTCAGAATCATAGAGAGTACTACCCACTGCAGTGCACATACTTATATTAGGTACACACCATCTAAAACAATCTAACTGAGAGAAAAATAAAGAAAAAGCAAAAAATCATTCATAAAAGACACACAAGAACCTATAAGGGATTGCCTTCCTTCCTTACCTTCTGTATAAAGACTATGGTGATCATTTGAAAACAATACTTTTCCAGGTGGATTTAATTCAATCTGCCTTTGTTCAACATATAGGACATCTACTGGATTGACTGGAACTGGAATAGTGAAAAACATTGTTACAGTTGTAAGAGACTTAATAAATAATTCAAATGACCCAATCATTACTAGGTACCATTGTAAATATTGTGTTCCTATAGTAATCATGGAATAGCTTTGCCTACTTGCAGAAACATAATTTTCTACATGATATTTCTTTGATAATTTTACAGCAACAATATAACATGGATTTCCTGTTTAGTTATCATCATTACTTTTTTATAATATACAACCTGGTTTTGAAGATATAATAACTATTATTTCTATAATACACAAAGCATGCCATCATTATTCCGATCCTTATAACATGGGAATCAAAAAAGAAAATCAAGTGTCTGTCACACATTTTCACAATAAAAACAAAACTAAATACATAAAATACATAGAGATTTTAAACTTTCAACAAATTCAACCCTTAAAAAGAAAAAAGATAACATCAGTATTGTCTAAAATCCTTCACCATATATATCTTACATTATCTAAAATACGATCCTATAACTGCTTCTTCCCAAAAGCAACAATCCAGACCCCCTGACAATTCATAGCTTACAAACCATCTTCACCCTTATAATTAAACAGTGTGATTTCCTTGTCTAGCTTCTCCAGCTGGTCAGTTCGGTGCTGGTCGGAGAACTCTGCGTTGACGAGGTATTCGTAGTCTGTCCTGTCTCCCTGGGAGAATTAAGAGCATTTCTGACTGAATGGAAATCATGTGATATCGAGTATTTAAAGGAATTATTAACGTAGTGCCTCTTAGTGAACACAAGTGGGCAAAATGCTAGAAAGACTTCTATATTCCAAAAACACTGAAGAAATATGGAAACATACTCATAATCATAATACTCTTCTTTTTCATATACTAAACAATACTAAGAGAGAAACACAAAAAGAAACATTACTACAAGACGATAACAATGACAACAACAATATCAAATAATAATGATGGTGATATTGATAATATAATATGATGATGACAATAATAATTGTAATAATAATATCAATTAGAATTACAATAATAATAACTGTAATCATCATCATAATCATCACCATAGTAATGATAATAGAAATAGCAATAGTAACAGAAATAGTAATAAAAAAAATTATAGTAATAGTAAATATAGTATTAGTACTAGTAGTAGTAGTAGTAATAGTAGTAGCAGTAGTAGTAATAATAATAACAATAATTGTAATAACAATAATAAAGATAATAACTATAATAATCATAAAAAAAAAATAATAATAATAACAATAATAATAATAATAATAAATAACAATAATAATCATAATAATCAAAATAACAATAAATAATAAAAAATAACAATGATAATAATAATAACAATAATAATAATAATGATTGATGATGATGATGATGATGATTATGGTGATGGTGATGGTGATGGTGATGGTGATGATAATGATGATGATGATGATTGGTGATGATGGCATATACTTTGATAGAAATCGCAACATTTTTCCCCTTTTTTCATTATCAGAATCTCTGTGTATAATAACAGATGAATACTGTTAAGACAAAAATGAAAAACAATAAAGGTTTAGATACTGCATTTAAATTATTGACGAACAGTAGAAAATTAAAAGTATGAGGAATGAGTGAATTGTCATACAGATACATCAAGATTCATTGCTTGCCTTGGATAATTTAGAAGTGTATGAATTTTGCAGGAGACAAGCCGTTATTGTAAATTCTACATTCCAAATCTTACTTTAGTGAAATACAGGATCCTTTTACTGACATCCTTATGGCCATGGAATTATCATACAAGGCTATCCATGTATCACACAAAAGCTTGAATTAAGCCTTTTTCTGTTACACGACAAAGAGACTTTTAACCTGGAGTAGGAAATCTCTGACAAGATGTTCTCATATAAGCATATTACTATTTTCCATAGATTTCTCAACGACTGTTATATAAACATCTGTGAGAGGGTAAAGGTTGGTAAGGTGATATGTGCAATGTATGCAGGATTGAATCTGAAAATAACCAATGCATAAAAAGAACATGTATAAATAAAGATAGGCCTATATAATCTAGAGTGTTTTTTAGCTTGTTTTCTAGTTGATAGGTGTAAATCCTTTGATCATTAATGATAACTTACCTTGCTTGGTTTTGCGAAGTCATCTTCATCTACTCCAAGGAATGGCAGAGAGTCATCTAGGTCAGCTTCATCCATGTCGCTCTCTTCCGATGACGTTATCATTCTGAATTCTAAAATCAAAATAATTACTAATGTATTGCAATCTTTATATATTGTTTTCTTTTACCAATTCTATATCTGAATAATCTATCTTCATATCTAAGATGCTCCATAACACAAATTGGCTTCCTTGTTATTTTTTGCACATAAGAAAATTTGGTAATTACAATTCACTGATTAATACTAAAATTTAATTTCTATTCAGATTGGTTTTTCGATAAAATAACATTTATTTTACCAAACATCTGAAAATTTGTTTAATTTTTGTTTTTGTTTTTAATAACTATCTGTAAATATTTTTTCAAAAGACTAATAATACACATTTTATTGTTTCTTTAGGATATTAGTTTTCTTTCCTCTCACTGGTTTCTTTATCTCATGATTTGTTGAAAATTATGAAAGTTTACTTTTTATTCACAATGGTATTCTGTAAACATCAAAAATGTCGCCAACGATCTGAAAATTTGATCCAGTTCTATTTTGCATACGTGTCTGTGAATATCCGAGAAAAATAAATGACAAACAATGCACATTAATGAAAATATAAATCAAGGACAGCAAATTTCATATGAAGACATATATCTGAGATGCCTCCCTTAAAGATACAAGCACAGAGAACTATTGCACTGTCCCTTCAAGAAAATATGACATAATATACATGAATAATAGTAACTTTCTCAGACAAGTTTTATTGGGGGAATGGACAAAACTTGTCCAGTGAGCTATAGTCACACAACCTCAATCTCAATAAGTTGAAGCATAGGGTGCTAAATGTTAGCAAATATCACTTTTCAGGCAAAGACTGTCATCATTGTAAATCTTGCCCATGCAATCAAGACAGACAG